ACACATAATGAATCGAAATTTATTGTAACAATGTTCGATCGTCTACAATTTCTTTTTTTTTTTTTGAATAATCTGACAATAATTTTGCTATTTGCTATATTTTTTCAAGAAAGATTCAAAGACAATAAAAGTAGAATTTTTTTCGATTTAGAAGTTTATTATTTATAGATATCTAATGCATTTCAATAAGATACAAGTATTCTACAAAAAACTTGTTCGATTTTTAAATCTTAATTTAACTATTCATGAATTTATTTCAAACACTGAAACATAAACAAACTTTTTCTTTGAAAAGATTAAAGAATCTTTTTATTACATAACTTTTATTAACTTCATAATTTCTGTAAGCAAAATGATAAGGATAAATCAGAAAAACGATTATATGATAATCGATAACAAGAATTTAAATTTGGAATGATACAATGAAAGAATTAATGCCAGAGTATCAGTATTACGAAATTTATGTAGAATGAATTGAAGTTATAAATATATCGGAAAATGAAACAGAAAAACATTTAGTGAACGTCGAGTAAATCTTGATTTTTATTGCTTTACAATTAATCGACCTCAAGTAGAATCGAATGAAACAATGTGAATAATTCATAATGATAACCTTTGGAAGATTAAGTGAGTGTAATATCTTTGATTTGCTGATATGTAACGCCTCCTTCAATTCACGTATAGTCTAATATTATATTGATCGTAGCTATTAAACATAAAGGTAATTAAAACCATTTATCATTTTCACACAAGTTCTATGATAAAAATAAAGCGGATATGAATTATCAGATAGATCAATAATGAATGTTTACTCTTTGTAAATGAGTATCATTTTCTATCTCATTACAAGCAAGTAAATTTATCAAATTCGAGTATTACTTTTATCAAACTTAGATGTTATTCATTTTCTTATTCTTAAGTAGTTTTTTTTTTTTTTTATTCTGGCTAAAGTAATTCTTTCAATTCAATCAGATTTATATCAAAGATTTATCTGATAAAAATATATCTTAACAATAATAACTGTATATGTAAAAATGATCATCAATATCATTTTATGAAAAGAACTATTAAATAAATATTTTGACATTTCTTGATAACTCATGAATCATTTTCAATTCAAAATTAATGAATAAAATAATATTAAACAACAATCTAACGAATGTTATCATATATTTAGATCAATTTGATAGAGAAAATACATTTTATGCTATCAGACAAGTGTTTAATTTTCATCATCTAAAACATTATTAGAACCATTCAATAGGATTTTATTAGACTATATTGCAATCGTTTTTGACTCACACTGATATATCATTTTAATAAAAATCTCAATTAATATTTTATTTTGAAAAATTATAAAAATAGAATTTTAATTTCTTTTTTCTTCAAATATTACAGACATATGTGTACACTCGTAACTAGAAATGAATACAATATAATTATCAATCATTCAATCACAGCTGGAAACATGATTTTATATCGGCATGCGAAAAAGAAAGAAGATGATCACTCGATCATAAAAGAACGATGACCATTGAGCATATTTATTTTTATTAGAAACAAGACTGACTGTCACACACAGTGGGTATTCAATTCTTTTCATTGATCCCTGTAGGATCTATAATTGATGATAACAGACAAACAGACAGATAAATAGATAAGAAAAGCATTGGTTGCTATTGACGATCGATTCATAGAGAAAGAAGGAAATGTGTGTTTATATGTCTATCCGTCAATCAGTCAATCATAACAAATATCTCTTGAAGTTGTTCAAAGATTTCATTCGATTAAGTTTTATTTGACTGAATCTATTTTTTTGATTATATTTTAAAATGAAATGTTCAATCGAGTGTAACAAAAAAAAGCAAAAGATAAAATGACTTGTCTGTACAGACACGCGTCAATTACTCATTGAACTCATTTAATTTACATATTGATGGTAAGTCAATAAAAAGAAATATTTAAATGGTTTTTTTTTTTCTTTTTGTTCTGTCAAAATATTTATAGTAAACAAAAAATATTGATAAACATTAACAGAAATTATTCTCATAAGATTCATTTTTCTATTGATTAATTTATATACATATGTAGCAAAGGTCAATAGTATGTTATATTCTTCATAGTATTCTTTCGCAATTATTATCATTTTGCTTATAGGAAAAACATGTAATATGATATAAGAAAAACATATTCTCTGTAAGAAATGATTATATGGTTGAATAGAGATAGTCTTTCTTTTAACTATGCCATAGGCTATAAACTATGATTACTATAGCATGAAATGAGAAAAAAATGTAAAACCTTTGGAAAAACATATTACAAAAAATCAATAAATGTATATATGTCAAAAGATGTTTGTTTTTTTTTTTCAATTATTACTATAAAATCATACACACACATTGACTTGTTCAATAAAACAAAACAAACAAAACAAAAAAATAAATAAATATGAAATTTTTTCAAATTAGAATATGTGTCTTTGTTAGATGTAATTGACAATTATGTACAGATGGTATTTGTTGATATATATGATAAGAATCATTAGTTAAATGATTTGTTTCAATAGATGAATGTAATGAACATTCACTAGTATTATTACTTTGTTGTTGTGGATAACTAATTATATTTAATGGATGATAATAAATTGTTTTTAAAGATTTAATTTCATCAGAATTAATTGATGATATTTGTGAAAAATTTTCTTTTGAATAATAATGAAGACGATAATAACAAATAATTATTAATATTGAACAGACTAGAATAGCTCCAAGAAGAATTCCACCTAAAAGATAAATAAATTGTTCATTTTCTTGTTTATTTGATGTTAAAATAAGTGAAGATGATTTAATTAAATTTGTATTTAATTTTAAAAAAATATTTCGACAATATTTTTTATGTTCAATATTAATACAAACAATATAAAATGGTGATGATTTTTCAATATAATCTGATATATCTATTTCAATTGATTGTTGTTGACCATCAATTAAACGTTGATATATCATATGTTGATGATTTTTATCATAAATTTGTATATAATAATATTTTGGTAATTGTGATAACATATATTCCCATGAGATAATTAATATACCACTTGAATTATATGTAATATCTTTAATTATTAATTCGTTTAATGATGATTCAATTGTTGAATTATGAATAATATTAGTTTTTATTGATGTTAATGGAATATTAGTCGATGATAATATTGATATTAATGTTGATCTATATATATATATATATAAATATAGATAAAATCAAAAATAATTATTGTATTAGAATTGAATAGAAACTTTTTCCGAATAGTCATTTTCTTATTACTTTTATTATTGAAAAATAAAAATAAAATGCTACTAAATCTTATTTATTTTGATATATATTTCAATTTGTGATTATGTATTACTATTGTTTACATTTGTTAAGAACTTTTCCATGATTAAGGAGCTACAGGTAAAGATAATAGTTTGATGTTTTATTGGTTCTGCGAGAATTCTCTTAAATGTCATATGAAGCAAAAAAAAAACGAAACGAGAATTTACGATTGTTAGTCTAGAAGTATGTTTCCTTCAATATATTTATCGAGATATTAGAATGCGTATTATTATAATCATAATATTAGTCTTATGTATGATGCTGCCAAAAAGCTTTTCCAATTTCTGACGAATCTATTTGGAAATAATTTTCTCAAGAGATTTTATCATGATTTATAGGCTTTACTCAATACTTCAACAAGGGATTACTATACCTCTTGTATTTCTACTTAGAGCAGAGACATGAGAAAAAGATTATCATAAAATTGTTCCGACACATTTCTATCCTGTGAATACATGAATCAATATCTCATCGTGTAAAAGCAAATGAATGGTTATTTACAATGTCTGTTTTGCTAAGCTCATGAAGATCCACTATTATATTCGGACATTGTTATACACACGTTAAATTTGAAATAGCATCTGATTTCCATATAGATTCGATTTTAAACGATCATATTTAAATGAAAATAAGACTATAGATTTAATTCTATCTTACTCTATTGTTGTTTCTTGTTCAATAATTTCATTTTCATTACATATCATATCATGTTCATTAATAATTGTTAATTGTTTACCAAAAAGATATTTTGGTTTTGCACATGTCCATTGTAAAAATTTAATTAAATCTTGTTCATAATTATCTTTTAACCATTGTTTAATCCATTGTAAATGACAATTACAATCTAATGGATTTGCTGTAAGACCAATTGTTTTTAAATTTGAATATTTTAATAAATCATATTGATTTAAATATGATATTTGATTTGAACTAAGATCAAGATCAATTAAATTTGATGAATTATATTCAAATAAATTAGGTATAAATGTAAATAAATTTCTTTGTAAATCAATTGATAAAATAGAATAATTTAAAAAATTTTTTGGTAATTCTTTTAAATAATTTGATGATAATTTTAAACGTTGAAGAGAATAGAAAAAATTTAATGAAAAATTTATTTTTGTTAAATTACAATTTTGTAATGATAATTCAATTAAAGTTTTTGATAAATCTTTTAAAATATTTTTTGTTATATTCATTTGTAAATTTCTATCAAGATTTAATATTTTTAATGAATTTAAATATTGAAATGGTTGTTGATTTAATAAAAATTGTAAACGATTACGTGCTAAATTTAAATGTATTAAATTATTTAAACCATAAAATGAATAATTTGTTAAATAATTTAAATCATTTCCTTGTAATGATAAATAAATTAAATTAAAATTAATTTGAAAAATTTTTTCAGGTAAAAATGTTAAACGATTAAAATCTAAATTTAATTCTTTTAAATTTTTTAATGAATATAAAAATGTTAATTGTAATGAATTAATTTCATTATTTTGTAAATAAAGTTTTTCTAATGAATGAAATATATTTCTATCAATATATTGTAAACCATTTGATGATAAATCAAGAATTTTTAAATATTTTAAATGTATTTTTTTAAGATAATTAAAATTATTTTGACTTAAATATAATATTTCTAAATTTGGTAAATATTTTATTAATGAATTCCATGATGAATCATTTAAAAAATTTTGTTCTAAATTTAAATAATGTAAATTAATTAATGATATAAAACCATCAGATTCAATTGATTTTATATGAGATTTTATTATTGATAATTGTTCTAATTTACGAAATTTAATAAATGTATGATTTTTTATTTCAATTAAATTTAAATTAATTAATTTTAATGAATGTAAATTAATTAAATTCATTTTTATTGCATTTGGAATATCATTTATATAATTTGAATCAAATTCAATAATTAATTCTTCAAGATAATTTGATAATTCAATAAATGCTTGTGATGATATAAAACGAATTTTATTACCAGATAAATTTAAACGTTTAACACGTAAACCTTGAAATGCATTTTTATGTATTTCAATAATTTGATTATCATTTAAAACAAGTTCATCATAAAATGTATTTGTTATACGTGTAAAATTTGGAATTTCTATTAATTGTTTACGACCACAATGAATATAACTATATTAA